TATTGCATTAATCTACGCTAAATAATTTTACTTTGTATCACAGTGAAGATCTCATGTAAGTTTATCTTCGTTAATATGCAAAAAATAACAAATTGCATTTTATGGAGTTTGCCTAGATCACCAAAAATAATCAAAGGTTTGAAAAATTAACGAGAGTTTAAATGTAGGGTTATATTTTAATTTCTCCATAAAATAACATATTCGGGAGTAGATATGTCGAGCGGATCAAGCCCAGGCCCGGTTTAAGGCAGAAAGGTGCCAAAAGGAAGAAGAAGAAAAATACTTTATAAATCTCGCGGGAAAACATAAAGTGGAGGGCAAAATCGGAAATAACTAAAAGCATCCTAAGGCGCGAAAAAGAGCCGTTGTGAACCAAAACTCTCAAATTATGGCGCCAAAAAAAGACGGTGACTCAGAAACTGCCCGTAATGTTTTCTCGGGCAGCTAAATTTTATTCTTTTTAAATTTCCAATCTTTACTCCTATTTTCTTCATCTTCTTCAAAACCACTTTGTTTTATTATTATTTTCTCCTGAGCATTTCCACTTGCAAAAAAACGCAAAGACAGAATATTTATTTGACTATTTAAAGCTCTCTTTATCACAAAATTTCTCTTCATTTTCTTTCCTCCTATTTCTCAACCAAAAAAAAACTTGACCAGCCACAAGTCCACAAGTTTAATCCTTTCTTGCCTACTTTCATTTTATTTTCTTCTTATAAATCATTTTTGGTTTATATTCCTTATTCCGATTCCTCTTCTTATCAACAAAAAAAGAAATTATCTTTTCTAATTTCTCTACTCTTCTTGCTTCCTAAACAAGTGAAACAAGTCTCTGTTTTTTCCTTCTTCTTTCTTTGGTTTTACTCTGTTTTTTTTCTTCTTTCTTTAGTTTTACTCTGTTTTTAAGTTTAATTAGAGAAAGATGGGGTTTTCGAAGAAGTCTCAATTAGACGGAGGTTTAGATACCGACGGGAAGAAATGGGTCATCGCCGGAATTTCAATTCGTGCTTCATTAAAACCGGTGAAGGCAAAACTCAGAGCACCGGAGGTTGAAGCCGGAGTTGAAGAAGATTGCTGCTACGACGAGGAAGAATGTTCGACGACGCCGACGGCGAAAGAAACAAAGATACCGGAGAAACTGAAATGTCCACCGGCGCCGAGGAAAAAACGGCCGGCGTTAAAATGTCGGAGTAACGCCGTTAGAGAGTTTTTCACGCCTCCTCCTGATTTAGAGACGGTGTTTATACGGCGCCGTTAATTAAAAGTTTTAGTGAGTTTTTGAGTTTTTTTTTTTTATTGTTAGTCATATTAATTGTAACCCATGAAACTTAATGTTATGTACTAATAATTAGATTTTCTTTTTAATATTTTTCTTAAGAGTGTATGGATTTGAAAAACTAGTTAGTTCTCTCTTAGAGTTTGAGTTGTTTTCTTGAAGATTTTTTTTTCTTTTGTTTTGGGTTAGAAAAAAGAAGATTATTGTACAAAAATGTGATGATAATGAATAACTTATAAATTAGCTCTATTCCATATTTTGTTCATCACATTTGGTTCTATGATCTATATCTCAACTAGTCACATAGCTAAACTATTTATTGAAGATTAGTTTCTGTTTTTCTTTATGTTGTTATAAAAGGGAGTTTATTGTACAAAGATGTGAATTTTATGATGATAATGGTCAGCTTTTATATTAGATCTAATCCATATTTTGTTTATAACATTTGGTTCTATACTTCTATGATTCCATCGATGTCTCGGTTTCATGAATATTTTGGTTAAACATATATACACAAATTTGAGTGCACATTTGCAAAATAGTCATACT